GGTGACTGAGGAGATGATGGAGGCACTAACGGGACTTCTGGTGCCAGGGAAGGGCACTGCTTGAGATAATGAGAGATTCGGTAGCTGGCATGCCATATGCAGTTCTCCTGTCCAGAGTGGCCTTGGGCAACTAGTTATTTATGTGAGTGAACAATGGAAATGCTTCTATTTGTCTTATGTTGCTCAAACAAGAAATCAACGTAGTTTCAAAACCAGTTTCAAAACCAGAGTGAGAACCAGGAAACAAAATTAGCTGGCTGGTCAGGGTATATCTATTAAGAGACTCAGACAGTAAGGGGACTGGTCAGAGGTCATAAGAGCCCCAAGAATGTCCAAAACATAGGGTCACTATGATGAGGATTATTTTGGGCTGGTTACTTTTGAAAACTGCAGACAGGAAAGAGACTCTGAAAGGCAGAGTTTGCTTGCCCTTTGATGAGAGACATTTGCATTTGTGAAGGAAGTCTCCATGTGTGAGGGTGTCTCCCTCTCTGCACCAGGAGGAAGGGGAGATGACTTTATCTCTAGAAACTCTTAATGGGGAAGGCAAGGACTTAAGTCTGCATAATAATCTTGCTCTTGTTTACTATCTAGCAACCTCATGTAACTGACCCTCCCCACCACCACCATCCTCCTTTGTCTTTAGCTGAAGATAACATTTAAGGTGGTGGCTTCAGCCATTTACTTAATCTGATCTGATTCTTATCTAAAGTTATAGGACCACCCAATAACCAGACCCCACCTGCACTGATACCATTTTAATGACTTTTTTTTTTTTACATATTCTTTCCTTTGTCTTGTAAAGAGATAACTCACATACCTATGCCTTAAATTTAGCCCTACCCTCAACCCATGTTGGCAGCAGCTCTCTGTTGCCCATGGGTCCTGTCCCCATGCTATTCCATACTACTCTCTGAATAAAAGAGCACTACTGCCAGACCTTGAGAGTCCAAGAAATCTTTCTTTCAACTCCTCGGCTCGCTGAGCCGGCATCAACTAGACAGACAGAAGCAGCTTTTGTGACATCCCCTTGGCATGGCCCTTTTCCTGACTCATGGGTAGAAAGACAAGGAATGGACACCCATTTTACTGACATGGATTGTGGCAGAGGTACCATGTATTTGAGGAGCTTGGAATTCATAAAACTGAAAGGCAAGCCAAAGCTGAACTGAGGAGTTGTTCCTTCCTCCGAGCTGACATGGTCTGGTGAGCACAGTATGACCCAGAATTTGGACCTCACTCCAGCTTCAGCAGCCTGGCATCCTTGTGTTGGACATAACCTGTGTTTCCAAGTGTTGGGCCTTGGGAGACCAAGCATAGCAGGATGGAATTGTGCTTCAGAAGGAACCTGGAAGCTGCTGGAACATCTACTACCAAGGACTTCCACCAGACTTCTGGCATCTTGCTCCTCTCTTCCTCCTCAAATTAATTCCAGCCGTGGGACTAAATATGCTCAAATCGCCACTCCCTTGTGTCTGGAGAGTTGTCCTAACTACCTTCAAATTGCATAGTCCCCAAATCCTTAACTCAAAGAATTCATGACAAGAGAAAGCCTTTATTAAACTTGTAAAAATTTGCATTTATTTGCAAGTATGTCTTCAAGTTCTAAAATTGAACACTTTGATTTATTTTATCTTTAATACTTTAGGGGAAGAGATTGTAAATATATATGCTTCTTGGGAATTTAATTCTACTATTAAGTTTGAAGTCCTATCATATTTTACCCTTTATTCCAGGATTGGTAATAAATGGATATAGTTTTCCCATAAATCATAGTATCTGTAGCTTTATGATAGGACCCATTGTATTTTAAATATGACAGTGCCTCACCAGATATTGATTCACTATCCAATGGATTTGAATAAATTGAGCAAAGCCACACAAATTAGGTTACTTTGCTCTCCTTCAAAGACTGCCCACTGCATTTCAAATGAAAGCCAAACTCCTCCTCCTAACATACCAGGCCTTGCAAAAGCTAGCCCTTGCCTACCCTTGGGGCCCTCTCTCCCTCACACACTGCACTCTATCCACAGTCTCTTTCTGTCCTCTGGACACATCCACTTACATTAGCTATTCCTAGAATGCTTATCTCTTGCAGGGGATCAGAATTTACCACCCCAAAATGTGCCTCTTTGGCTTGATTGTTTTTAAGAAAAGACTCAGAAAGAAACTTTGACTTTCCCCCCAACTGCCTAAAAGAATTTAAGACGGAAAGCCTGTCCTAGGAAGGAGCTATCACCATAGATTAACTGTAGGTGTGATAGACAGGAAGGCTCTAGCAAGGCCCATTTGTATCAAAGTTATGGCCCAGCAAATATTTATCTATCAAACATTTGCTTTTCCATCTCTATGTAAATTGCCTTCCTCCTCTCTGAAGTCCCAAACGTGACCCTCAACATCCTCCTTTATCTTTAGAGCTGAAGATGGTATGTGGGGCCGGCCCCATGGCTGAGTGGTTAAGTTTGCGCGCTCCACTCCGGCGGCCTAGGTTTCACCAGTTCAGATCCTGGGTGGGGACATGGCGCCACTTGTCAAGCCATGCTGAGGTGGCATCCCACATGCCACAACCAGAAGGACCCACAACTAAAAATACACAACTATGTATGGGGGGGGGGTTGGGGAAGAAAAAGAAAAAATAAAATCTTAAAAATAAAAGATGGTACTTAAGGTGGTGGCTTCGGCCATTTTGGTGAGTTACTTAGTTTTCCTGGGTTTCTTCTGTGTATACATGATATTAAACTTTGTTTGATTTTCTCCTTTTATTCTCTCTCATGTCAATTTAATTCTTGGACCAGTCAGAAGAACCTAGAGGGTAGAGGTAGGTATGGTTCTTCCTCCTCTACACCCTTCAGACTTCACCTGATTGGCTCCTTGTTGTCATTCAGTTTTAGTCTCCTCAAACTAAAGAAGTTCCTTTCCCCAATTACCATCACCTTATCTTGCTTATCTTGTGATATTTTTGTAGCATTCGTTACTCTGCTATTAAGGAATGTCTTCACTTATATACTATCTATTACATACAAGGTGTCCACGTAATGAACCGTCCAAACTGAGACACCTTTGAGAGTGAGAGCTATTAATAATTATGCTGGGACAATGAAATAATATGGACCCTAGGATGTGTGGATCACTGGAGTTGTAACCCACTAGGGAATGTAATCTTCCTTGGGGTATGGCTTTGTCTAGCTTCTTCACTGTTGCTCCCCAGAGCGTGGACCTGTACCTCCCATCATTAGGCACTTACTGTTGAATGAAGGATTTATACATCCATAGATTTACGTTTAATTTTTCGTCATTTGTACATTTTTCCCACATATTAAAATATATGTGTACATATATTTACAATATGATTTTAAGAGAAAGAAATCAGAAAACAAAATTATATCAACTTTATGGTACCTACATAATACGTATTAATATGGATAATGACTGATAAAGATCAGAGGAAAATTGAAAGTGTTATGTTTCACTGGTAGTATAATGGTTGGCTTTTTCTTTCTTTTTCAATCTCTTTTATCCCCATGACAAAACTGTCTGTAAAATTTTCAAAAACTAAAAGGAAAAAAACTGTAAAAATGAAAGAATCTTTCCTTAAATAGCATATTTGACTCTAAGCTACATATCCAGCTTTGGTTTGCCTGTTTTATGAATTCCAAGCTCCTCAAGCACATCAATCCAGAAGGATGGAACCCCTGCCACAATCCAGGCCAGTAAAATTGACATGCTCTCCCTGCCTTTGTACCCATGATTCAGTTCCAGTAAGTTACAATACTGCGACTTCTGATGTGGGACCTAAATCCACTCACACCCGTGTTGCAAGAAGACTGGGAAATGGAGTTTTTAGCTTTCTTGCCTTTGCTCACTAGAAGAAAGAATGGTTGTTGAATGAGCCAACCCATTATCATCCAAACTATCAAGAAGCACTCATTTACTTAAAAAAGTACTTATTGAGTGCCTACTATATGTATGGCCCAGGTGAGGGCATCTTGTCAAAAGGTTTTTCATCTTCATTTCTTTAATTTTCTTTCTCTGCCATCATCCTCATCTACTACTGCAGATTAACCCCTTTACTTCTCTTTTCCTGTGGAATTATACTTAATGGGTCTTGGTCTGACATACGTTCGATGGTGCTGAAATGCAGAGCAGTGATTCCACAGTTAGATGAACCATGGTTGTAAATGGATCCCACAAGAACTGTAATATCAGAAGTTCATAGGCATTCTCACCTAGCTGAGCTGAAATTCAGATTAGGTTGCTTCCCTTCATTGGCGATGTCTCTAGCTGGGAGTTTAGGACTGAGACCCAGGGCTTCCTTAAGGAGAATTTTACACTGAATAAAAGAGCAGAAAAGCAAAGTGCATGATGGAGAGTCTGGCCAATTGGAAGTGCATTTCCTGAGATATATTGATTCAAACAAGCACTGGAGCACTTGCTTTATTGCTTTTTAATTGGTTTCAGGCTTTCAAACAAAGAAAACAGGATAATGGACAGGGTACTCGAGACCTGGACAACTGTATGACCTTGATTAACCTCTCTGCACTCAGAGCTCTCTCATTCATGGTGGTGTTGGACTAGTTGATCACCAAGTTCTTATTCAGCTCTCATTTTCTGTTTTAATGGTATAATATAAATAATAATTTAATAACTGAATTAATAATTGGATAAGAGCTATTCAAGGCCTCCATTAATCTATATCATGTTTCACATATTTTGCCAACATATCATCTAATACCTATTCATATCAGCAGGGTGAGAGTACAAATGTTTTTCTTCACAATATGTATATCAACAGTTTCCCCCAATGCTTTAACTAAGAACTATATAAGCGGGCCAGCCCGGTGGTCAAGTGGTTAAGTTCGTGCGCTCCGCTGCGGTGGCCCAGGGTTTTGCCGGTTGGATCCTGGGCACGGACATGGCACTGCTTGTCAGGCCATGCTGAGGCGGCGTCCCACATGCCACAACTAGAAGGACCTGCAACTAAGACATACAACTATGTACGGGGGAGGTTTGGGGAAATAAAGCAGAAAAAAAAAAACTATATAAGGATCTATAGCCTAATTTTCTTTAGGAATTGCCAATTTTACATGAAGGATGTCTGTACTGATGGCTCCTAGATATTAAAATATTTCATAAATGTGGGCCTAAGATTCCTGGTGCAAATGTCATTATGGAGAAATTGAACAAATAAAGAAATGGATATAAGGAAATAGGATTGTGAATAATATTTAATAGTCATTGAATGTTAAAATTCTTTTAACAAAATATACAGCTAGCCAAAAAATGTATTCCATTTTTCGTTCATTCCCATGGACACCAATGTTGATAGAGATGTCATCTTTTGAGTGGGTTTCTGCAAAATCCTATGGTCATTATTGTTAAGAACACCATCATCTCTTCCAAGACTACCTAAAAAATCTGAGGACAAAACACATAGTTGTAGATGCAAGACTTCTTACCTAGATACCTGCAGAATCCCCTGGTCAATACCATGGTTAGGGCCACCATCATCTCCTATCTGGATACCTGCAAAATCCCATGGTAACTAACATGGTTAAGGACACATCACTCCTTACCTGGACAACCAAATTATCCCAAGGCCACTAGCACAGTAAGGGAGAGATTAGCTCTTACCTGGATACATGCAAAATTCAAAGGTCAGTACTGTAGATACAGGCACAATCATCTTCTGCCTGCATATCAGCAAAGACCTCCATGGTCACTAATGCAATCAGACAAATACCATCTCTTACCTGAACACTTAGAATTGCCCAGGGTCAGTATCACGGTAGGGGCACAGCATCTCTTGCCTGGATAACTGCAAAATCCCATGGTCATTAGCTTGATTAGAGACACCATCAACTTTTACCTGGATATCTACAAATATCCAAAGAAAACACCTTAGTTAGAGACATCTTCACAAGTGTGACAACATATCTGCAAAATTCCCCTGATCACTAAGGTGGTTAGTCAACACAACGTACAAGAATACTTGCAAATAAACATGATCTCCATGTTGGCTTACAAACACTATCATTGCTTATGTGGATATCTGCAAAATCTCATGAGCTCCAACTTTGGTACAAACATCATCATCTTTTAATTGGATGCAAGCAAAATTAACCTTTGATACCATACAAAGGTTCTCAAAAATCCCTTAACTGGAAGCTACAAAAACCAAAGAGACAACAGCATTTAAGAACAAATCTACAACCTGGATACCTGAAAATCCTGTAAGCACTACAAACTTAAAGGGAAGCATAAAATCTACCCAGATACTTGCAAAAATCCAGCGTCAAGAACTTGGATTGAGACATCATCTCCTTTTGGGTAGACATCTGTAAAAAGACAAAACAATAGTATTTAGTTTGGGATTTTGCTGGCATCCAGTTAAGAGATGATAAGTGGTTAAGAAGACAACCACTTTGGTTAAGGCCCACCATTGTCTCTTGATTGGATCCTATAAAAATTCATGGTAAAAACTGTGATGGGGGGCTGGCCCCGTGGCCGAGTGGTTAAGTTCGCGCGCTCCGCAGCAGGCGGCCCAGTGTTTCGTTGGTTCGAATCCTGGGCGCGGACATGGCACTGCTCACCAAACCACGCTGAGGCAGCGTCCCACGTGCCACAACTAGAAGGACCCACAACGAAGAGTGTACAACTATGTACCAGGGGGCTTTGGGGAGAAAAAGGAAAAAATTAAAATCTTTAAAAAAAAAAAAAAAAAAAAAAAAAACTGTGATAGGAATACATGTATTACCTGAAAACCTGGCAAAATCTCATCAAATTTACGGGGTCCATCAACTCTACCTTGAAACTTGCAGAAGCTCAAGGCCAACACCCTAGTTAGAGATACAATCCCGTCTTGAAATAATTACAAAAAAGCCATGGTCAATAAGGAGGTGATGGACAAAATGATAATTTATGTGGACATCTACATAATCCCTCAGTTACTACTAAGGTTATACAAACATTATATTTAAATTCTAAAATAATATGGGCTAATGCTTACTAGCATTGCCTGGGACAATATCATTTCTTACCTGAATACCTGCAAGAAAAGACGGCAACACAAATGTTAGAACACCATCATCACTTAGCTAGATATCTAAAGATCAGAGGGTGGGTGGCATGTCAAAAGCCCACATCAGCACTTATCTGGATACAAACAAAATCACTTTAATGAACTTTATGAGGTTTAGCATGATGTCTTAACAGTAACTTGCAAAATACATTGTAACAAATGTGTCTATGGACACATCTTTATTACCTGGACCCCGAAAATAACCTTATTCATTACCATCACCGCAGGACTCATCCAATCTACCCAGAATCTTGCAGTACTCCAAGGTCTACACCATGGTTAGAGACGCTATCATCACTTGAATGCTCACCTTCAAGAAAACCATGGTTACTACTGTGACTCACAGCTTCATGACAATTACATGGATATCTGCAAATCACTCAACAATCACATGGTTAAACATGACTTTTTTCTAAAATATAAAACAGTAGGGTAACATGGCTTCTGGAATTGGTAAAACACTCATTTCTTACCTGAAGACCTATAAAAAAATCACCTGGTAAACAAGATTAGGCAAACAAACTTCCCTTCCCTAAGTATGTGAAGCCTGGATGATCTGTGATGTGGGGGAGGTGCACACCATCACTTACCTGGATACCTATAACGTCTCCTGTCAACAACCACTGTCAGGGTTCACCACGATCTCTGGACATGAACCTGAAAAGCATAATATATGTGTAAAAGGACACAACTTGTTCTACCAAGACACCTGAAAATAACCTTCATCGCTATCCTTATTATGAGAACATCGATTCTACTGACTACTTGGAGAACTCCAAGTCAGGACCACTATCAGTTAAGATAACATTTCTCAACAGGACACCTGCAAAATTTCCATGGTCACCATTGTGGCTGGGAACATCATGATAATTACCTGGATATGTGAAATTACTCAAAACTCACAGGGATAAACAAAAATTTTTTCTAAAATATAAAAATGAAAACTCACAGTCTATAGAACTGGTCAGTAAGGGATCATTTCCTACCTGAACACTGGCAGAGAAATCATGGTAACAAGTGGTAGGGACACCACCATCACTCACCTAGGTACCTGCAGATGAGAAGACCTGTGCTGCGGTCTAGGTCCACATGAACAACTGCCGTGGGGCCACCACGGCGACACCGTCGTCCCGACCTGGACTCCTGCAGCCCTCTCAGATCTACGCCATTGTGACGGCCCCCATCCTCTCTTGACCGCCCACCTGAAAACCAGAGAAAGCAAGGTTATCACTGGGACGCGCCACGCCGTGGGAATTAGGTGGATGTCTGCAAGTCAGTCAGGAGTCAGAAGCTTAAACACGACTTGCGTGTAGAAGAGCACACGCCAGAAGAACGTGGCTGCCGGAACTTGTAAGGTCTCCATCATTCCTGACCCACGCGGTAACAGCGAGTGAGAGGACACGTCATCACTCACCGAGATCTGTGAATGTCAGACGGTCCTGTGCCGTGCTCTAGGCCCACAGCCTCGCCTACCTCCACCCCAACGACGTCCACCGTGCACTGCCACTGATAGGCTCACCGTCAGCTGCTGACGGGCAGCTGAAACGCATACGTATCGTGGTCAAGGCGCGTGGGACGTGCCCCCTCCTACCTCTACCCCCGGCACATCCCCTTGGTCACTGGTCCCAGCTGAGGACCCATCAACGCTAGCCGGATCCTTGCAGAAGGCCGAGGCCCAACCCTCAGGACGACACACCTCCCTCTCTTCGGGGCATACCTGCGATCCATCCCTTAGTCCAGAACGCTGTGAAGGACAGTGTCCTACGGTACCCGAATAGCCGCACATCTCTCTTCCGTTAGTGGTGTTAGGGGCAGACGAGCTTCCAAGAAGAAGAGAAAAATCTCCTTCCTAGTAGCAGGATCGGCAACAAATATAATTCCTTACCTACAGACGTGACCAAAGCTAGGTAAACGGAAGAGTCTCCCAACCGTTAATTCTGCGGATACTGAAACTGAGAACGTCTCCCCTGAGTTAACCTCACATCATCTCCTGCCCGTCCGCCAGCAAACACCCTGACAGGATCCCCGGGGAATGCCACGGGAGCACGGTGGGAAGACACAGCGCCCTCACTGACCTAGACGTCTGACCTGTCCTGGGGTCAGACCCACTCTCCCACTCACCTGCTTGCCATCGAGGTCCCGTTAACGACCACCGTCAGCTTCACGGTGCCTGCCTGCCCACCGCAACCTTTAAAAGGACACACGTGACAAGCGTGTTCTAGGACCGAACGACGCAACCTGTCTTACCGGCCGAAGGAAATACACGCAGAAATAACTTAATCAAGGAAGCAATTCAGCTGAAGTGAAATGAAAATGGCCCCGGCAGGTCACCTTAGTCACTCCCATCCGTAGGGAAACCACCAACACTACCTGGATCCTTCAGCACTTCTAGGCCAACGCCGCTGTCAGAGACACGTCATGTCCTCTCTGGGTACCTGTGGAAACGTCACGGTCAGTCCCGTGGCGCGCAACCGTGGGACAACTCAGCCGCGCACCTGCATGTCCCTCGGTCACTGCTGAGGTTAAACGCACGTTCTCTGGGAACTCTGCAAAGATACGGGCTCACGCTCACCAGCACTGTCGCGGACGAAATCGCTTCTTCACGCAATACCTGCACAAAAACACGGCAACGGAAAAGTGAGGAACACCATCCCCACTCAGCTCCGTACCTGAACGTCAGATTCTCTCTAGGGTGGCCAAGGCCCACATCACCCCTCACCTGGAGGCAAGCAAAGTCTCCTGACTGATCGCTCCGGGGTTTCCCATGATTTCTTGACGAAAACCTGGAAAACAAATGGTGACCACTGTGTCGACGGGCACACCTTTTCCACTAGGATCCTGCGACTGGCCTTGCCCGCTGCCGTCACTGCAGGACCCATCCTCAACCCTACCTGGATTCTTGCAGTCCTCCCAGGTCTGCGCCGTTGCTAGAAACACCATCACCTCTTCCCTGCTCGCCGGCAGGATCCCCCGTGGTTACTGCTGTGCCACACAACTCCACCATCGCTGCGGGGATACCTGCGGGTTGCTCAACAGTCACATGGGGAAAAGGAAACGTGCTCTAAACCAGAAAACAGGACAATAACATGACTGCTAGAACACCATCCTTGCTGACCCGAATGCCTGAAAGCAATCACACGGTACAACAAGTTTAGCCAATCAACATCACTCCCCTAGATTCGGGAAAATCAGCAGGTCTGACGTGGCGAAGGCGCCCACCATCACTTCCCTGGATACCAGAAACCTTCCCCCCGAACGACCACCCTGGTCAGGTTCACTGAGACCTCTGGACAGGAGCCTGAAAAACACGTTCCTCACCACACGTGGCGTCAAGAGCAGAACTTGTCGCAGCAGGACGCCGTCAACTTACCCCGGACACGTCCTTCATTAAGGGCACGTCAACTCTACCCGAATACTTACCGTTCTCCAGGGTCAAGGCCACGGGCGCGTACGACATTTCATTTGGGGACACCTGCAAAGCCTCCTCGGTCACCACGGTGGTCAGGAGCATCTTGAGAACTACCTGGATAGGGCAATCCCTCATTACACACAGAGAGACGTCAACATTTCCGCAACAACGTAAAAACTCAAAGCCATGGGTTCCAGACTGGGCCAGGACTATCCTTTCCTACCCGAACACCTGCAAAGAATGAACGGCGACAACGAGCGTTAGGGACGCTGGCAGCCCTTCCCTAGCTATCTGAGGAACAGAGGGTCTGCGCTGCGGTTGAGGCCCACGTCATCACGTGCCTCGACACTAGCCACTGACGAGTCGTGGCAGGTTCGACGTGAGGTCGTGCCGGGAACCCGGCAAGACCCCCACGAAGCCTGTGTGGCAGGACGTAACTTTCTCGAGCAGGACCCCTGCAAGTAACCTCGCTCACTTCCTCGTCACGAGTGACGAGACACATCGATCCTGCCTGGATGCGGGCGGGAACCCAAGGTTAACACCAATGTCAGATACACGCACCCTTCCTTGACTGGGCGCCTGGAAATATCCCTATGCATCGTAGTGTGCTAGGGCACGCCGCGAGAAACACCTGGACACGTGGAATCCCTCGACGCTCCTAGGGTTACAAACGGAGCAGTCCCAGCCATACGGAGAGCGAAAACTCGGGGTCTCTGAAGTTGCTAAGGACTCCACCGTTTCGCACCCGAATGCCTTCAGAGACATCCCGGGGACAACCAGTGCGAGGACACGCGCCACTTGCCTGGGTAGACGAGGGTCAGATGGAACGTGCTGTGGTGTAGGCCCACGCAATCACCTACCTCCGTGGCAGCCATGTCCCACGTTCGCGACCACCGATAGGCCCGCCGTGATGTCTCGACGCCAACCTGAAACGCACGAGGGGGAGGACGCGTTTGGGAGACGAATCGCTCGAGCTCTGCACCGGCCAGTTCCCCCGGTCACCTGGACCACTTCGGGACCCATGCACCCTACCTGGCCAGTTGCAGAACTCCAAGGTCAAGCCCCGGGAAGGGACGCCTTCCTCTCCTGAGGGGACACCTGAAAGAAACGCCTACGGTCCAGAACGCGATGATGGCACTGTCAGAAGTGACCTGGATGGCACATCACCTCTCAAGGAGAATACACACACTCTCACTCCGACTCGCGTTATGAAGGCCGGCGTAATTTCTTACCTGAATACAGGCCCAAACCAAGAGACACATAAACGGCTCGAACGTGAAGCCCACCGCTATCTGCACGCGAGCATGGCTTCAAGGCGTTAACGTCACATCGTCTCACACCTGGATACGAGCGCAGGCCGCAACAGGACACCTGCCAACAAACACAGGAACTCGAGCCTGAGGGGCCCCATCCTCACTTACCCTCCGGGTGAAGATCGGGCGGTCTGCGCTGCGGGAGGACCCACTTTGTCTCTCACCTGCTCAAGAGGCAGGCTCCGTCAATGACCACTCTCAGCTTCACCGCGTTCTCCTGAAGGGAACCTGAAAAGACACGTTCCACACATGCGTGTAAGGACACCACTTGCTGTCTCAGGCCACCTACGCCTAAGCTTGTCCCCTTCCCTCCTGATGGAAGACATGGACATCGACCCTACCTGGATGCTTGCCCTGGATGCTTCAGGGCATCCTCTTCGTCAGGAGGGACCGCCGTCCTTTCACTGGAACCCGGGCAAGATTCCTATGGCTCCCACTGGGGTGGAAACTCCGCGACAACTGCCGGGACACCACCTACCCACAACACTCACAGGCTGAAACCGAAGTGACCTCCGAAAAGGTAAAAAAGGGCAAAGTCACGCTTACCAGCACCGAGAAGGACTCTATCGTGTCTTACCTGGACGCCCGCAGCAAATCCACGGCAACAGGAAGCGTGAGCGACACCATCATCACTTACCCACCTATCTGCAGATCGGACGGCCCGTGCTGTGGTCTAGGCCCACGTCCTCACTTACCTGCACCCCAAGAATCTCCTCCGCTAAGGACCGATGCTAGGTTCGCCCGGATGTCGTGCCAGGAACCTCAGAAACACAGTGGGGACGACGTCTCGGGTGCAAGCTTATTCTCACGGGCAACCGCCAATGCCCCTCGCTCATTTCCATCACTTCCGGACCCATCAACGCTACCTGAATACTTGCAACACTTCGAGGTCGGCCCCCAGGAAGGAATGCCTGCCAACATCCCGGGGTCAGTAACGCGCTGACGGGCAACACGAGAGATTCCCTGGCTGTCTGCCCCTCCGTCTGTCGGTCTGAAAGGGAAAAACGCACTCTCTCTCAACGATAATACAGTGAATTCTCAAGCGGCCTAGTCTTGCTGGGGACAGCTGAAGATCTCAACTGCACGCATGTCAAGAACCAGCTTACCAGAAGAAGGGTCTCAAGGGCATCGCTAACTACCGGGATTTCTGAAAAGAAAGGATGTCTTTCTGAGTTCACGCCACACCGTCTCACACCTGTTTCCTAGCCAAAACCTTCAGAGTTGACCTGCAAAGAGCTGGGAACACGCGTGTTAGGGACATCATCCTCCCTGACCTTGGCATCGGAACGTTAGGCGGCCGTAACTGGACTCTCGCTCTCTGTGCCACTTACGCGGTTACTAACACGAGCCCGTTAGCCACCATTCTTGTGTCCAGAGGGGTTGCTCCCCAGGAACCTGAGAGGACGCAGGCCACCCACGCGTGGAAGGCAACAACTTGCTCGACCGTGGCTCCTGCCAACTGTCTTGCGCCATTCCCTCCTCGCAGGAATCATCCACATTCCCTGGCTCCAGGCAGAACTTCACGGTCAACACCGAGGTTACAGACACCGTCACCTCCCGACTGACCACCGACGAGAATCTCATGGTCGGTCCCGCGCTGTGCAACGAAAGGATAACGTACCTGCACACATCTCAGTCACTACTCAGGTGAGAGCCACACGGCACCGAAAGCCTAACGCGGTAAGAGCCAACGCTTACCAGCATTTTTCGAGACGACGCGATTTCTTCCCTGAATACCTACCAAAAGACCCCACGGGAACACGAATGTCACGAACGGCATCGTCACTTACCCGGCTATCCGAAGATCCGTGGGTCAGTAGGGTGCTCGAGGCCCCCACCGTCACTTCCCTGGATACAAGCACCGTCCCTTGAACGAGCATTAGGAGGCTCACCAGAACATCGAGACAGGAGCCTGGAGAACACAGTGTGACAGACGTGTTTTGTAGTCAGCCTTTCCATACCCGCACCCTGAAGAGAACCTTGTTCGGGGCCACCACGGCGAGACCCGTCGTCCCGACCTGGACTCCTGCAGCCCTCTCAGATCTACGCCATTGTGACGGCCCCCATCCTCTCTTGACCGCCCACCTGAAAACCAGAAAAAGCAAGGTTATCACTGGGACGCGCCACGCCGTGGGAATTAGGTGGATGTCTGCAAGTCAGTCAGGAGTCAGAAGCTTAAACACGACTTGCGTGTAGAAGAGCACACGCCAGAAGAACGTGGCTGCCGGAACTTGTAAGGTCTCCATCATTCCTGACCCACGCGGTAACAGCGAGTGAGAGGACACGTCATCACTCACCGAGATCTGTGAATGTCAGACGGTCCTGTGCCGTGCTCTAGGCCCACAGCCTCGCCTACCTCCACCCCAACGACGTCCACCGTGCACTGCCACTGATAGGCTCACCGTCAGCTGCTGACGGGCAGCTGAAACGCATACGTATCGTGGTCAAGGCGCGTGGGACGTGCCCCCTCCTACCTCTACCCCCGGCACATCCCCTTGGTCACTGGTCCCAGCTGAGGACCCATCAACGCTAGCCGGATCCTTGCAGAAGGCCGAGGCCCAACCCTCAGGACGACACACCTCCCTCTCTTCGGGGCATACCTGCGATCCATCCCTTAGCCCAGAACGCTGTGGAGGACAGTGTCCTACGGTACCCGAATAGCCGCACATCTCTCTTCCGTTAGTGGTGTTAGGGGCAGACGAGCTTCCAAGAAGAAGAGAAAAATCTCCTTCCTAGTAGCAGGATCGGCAACAAATTAATTCCTTACCTACAGACGTGACCAAAGCTAGGTAAACGGAAGAGTCTCCCAACCGTTAATTCTGCGGATACTGAAACTGAGAACGTCTCCCCTGAGTTAATCTCACATCATCTCCTGCCCGTCCGCCAGCAAACACCCTGACAGGATCCCCGGGGAATGCCACGGGAGCACGGTGGGAAGACACAGCGCCCTCACTGACCTAGACGTCTGACCTGTCCTGGGGTCAGACCCACTCTCCCACTCACCTGCTTGCCATCGAGGTCCCGTTAACGACCACCGTCAGCTTCACGGTGCCTGCCTGCCCACCGCAACTTTAAAAGGACACACGTGACAAGCGTGTTCTAGGACCGAACGACGCAACCTGTCTTACCGGCCGAAGGAAATACACGCAGAAATAACTTAATCAAGGAAGCAATTCAGCTGAAGTGAAATGAAAATGGCCCCGGCAGGTCACCTTAGTCACTCCCATCCGTAGGGAAACCACCAACACTACCTGGATCCTTCAGCACTTCTAGGCCAACGCCGCTGTCAGAGACACGTCATGTCCTCTCTGGGTACCTGTGGAAACGTCACGGTCAGTCCCGTGGCGCGCAACCGTGGGACAACTCAGCCGCGCACCTGCATGTCCCTCGGTCACTGCTGAGGTTAAACGCACGTTCTCTGGGAACTCTGCAAAGATACGGGCTCACGCTCACCAGCACTGTCGCGGACGAAATCGCTTCTTCACGCAATACCTGCACAAAAACACGGCAACGGAAAAGTGAGGAACACCATCCCCACTCAGCTCCGTACCTGAACGTCAGATTCTCTCTAGGGTGGCCAAGGCCCACATCACCCCTCACCTGGAGGCAAGCAAAGTCTCCTGACTGATCGCTCCGGGGTTTCCCATGGTTTCCTTACAAATGCGTGGATGCCATAATACTAGCTGGTCAGTTGCTACACTCCCAGGTGAACCCCTCGGAAGTGACACCCTTTCTTGTAGGGATAGCTGAAAAACTGTTTATGATGATGGCACTTTTTAAGTTACCTGCGTTGCATATTATCTCTGAATGAGGATACACACCATGTCATTCTCACTCGTACATTTAAGGTTAGATCAATTCCTTAACTGAATACCACCCCAGACGTAGACAAACATAAAGTTTCAAACCTTAATTACATCGATACCTGAACACAAGGATGTTTCCAGTGACTCAATGTCATATCATGTCACGCCTGTCTAGTAGCAAAGGCTTTTACAGGACACCTGAAACAAACACATCAATAGAAGCGTGAGGTCCTCTATTCTCACTTATCTTCCTAGTGGATATCAGGTGGCCTGTATTGCAGTAGATCCCTCTTTATCACTCACCTCGTTAAAAGAGAGGCTCCGTCAATGACAACTCTTAAGTTCACTGTGTTTTCATGACAGGAAAATGAAGAAAGATGCTCGACATATATGTTTTAGGACATGACTTGTCTTCTCAGGACACCTAAGCCTAACCTTGTTGACTTATTATGCAAGTCATCAGCCTATTTGGATATTTGCAGTAATTAGAGTCAGTATCTTCATCAGCAGAGGCCATCATTTTTTAGTGAACCCTTGTAGAAATTCTATGGCTATTACTGGAGTGGAATCTCCATGACAATTACCAGAACATCATCTACCCATAACACTCACAGCGTTAAACTGAAGTTATCTCTAAAATGTAAAAATGTAAAGTTATGGTGAGTAGCATCGGTAAGGACTGTATCCTTACTCACCTGAATACCTGCAACATAATCATGGTTACAAGACTGTTCGTGATACCGGCGTCTCTTACCTGTAGATATGAAGATCAAATGGTCTGTGTTGTGCTTTAGGCCCACATCCTCACTTCCCTCAATACCTGCTATGTGCCTCATTAACTACCTTAGATAGACTCCCCGTGATGTCTTCACATGAACCTGAAAAACACATTGTGAAAAACGTGCTTCCTATGCGTATCACTCTACAAGGGAAACTGCAAATTTCCTTGCTCAACTACGCCTTTTTGAGACTCATCACTATTTCCTGGATACCTGCAGAAGTCTAAGACTAAGTCCTATCTAAAGATACCTACTTCTCTTGCAGAGAGATCTTCAAAAATTTCGCATCCTATCTTGTGGTAATCGACAATACGAGACATCACCTGGAGATGTGTTCTGTCCATTATAATGAGATTAACAAAAAGTATCTCAGAACAAGAATACAGTAGTATCTCATGCTTACTAATACTGTTAGAGACAAATTAATTTCTGTATGCTAAACAAAGTGTAATATAAAAGTCTAGAAAACATCATTAATTACCTACATTTCTGAAAAGAAGGTGTCTAGTGAATTAATCTCTCATATCTGTACATGAGCAAATAACTTAATGGGAAAGGTTTACAAGAAAGGTTTCTTATAGGTTTATAAGAAAGCAGGGTTTGCTGTGTTAGAGACACCATCCGCACTTACCTAGATATTTGAAGATCAGATACTCTGTATTGTGGTAAGACCCACTTAATCACATACCTGCTTACTAGCAAGGTGCCATTGGCAACTACTGTTTGGTTCACTGTGATGTCATGACTGCTAGAACCTTGAGAAATACATTCTACAAGTGTGTTGAAAGACAAAACTTGTTTATCTGTAAAAAAAATTTATACATTTGCAAATAATCTTGGTCGCTTCCACCGTTAGGAGAAGTATAAACAATACTTGCCTCTTCACAGAACTTTAAGGTCTACGCCATTGTTAGTGAGACACACTATCATCTCTTCTCTGAGTACCTGTAGAAATCTCATGGTTAGTACTGTGGTATGAAACCAAAATAAGTTACCCGGACCTGCATATCCGTCTGTCACTACTAGGGTTAAACACATATTATATCTAAATTCTAAAAATACGAGGGCTAATACTTATTAGCACTTGTTGGGAAGATATTTCTTAACTGAATATCTGCAAAAATCCCTGGTAACAGAATAGTTAGGAATACCATCCACACTTACCTATATACCTGAAAATCAGACTGTTTTCATACTTAAGGCCTATATCATCACTTCACTGGATACAAGCAAAGTCCCACTACTGATCATTTTGAGATTCACCATGACTTCTTGACAGGAACTTAAAAAGCACATTGTGACACGTGTCTATGGACACATCTTTTCTATGAGGACACTGGAAATAATCTTGTTCACTGCCACCACTGCAAGACCCATCATCAACTCTATCTGGATTCTTGCAGTACTCCATGGTCTACACCAAAGTTAGACACACCAGTGTCTCTTCCCTGCTCACCTGCAAAAACATTAGGATTACTATCGTGTCATACAACTCCATGATTATTACCTGGATACCTACATTCCCTCAATACTCACATGGCTAAGTTTTTATAAAAGAGAAAACAGTAAGGTAACATTGACTGCAACAATTGGTAAAACACTATGATTTCTTACTTGAACACCTGAAAAAGAAAAACACGTGATAAAACAAGTTCAAGCAATCAACATCACTTAACTAGACACATGAAGCTCAGAGAGTCTGATGTGGTTAAGGTGCATACCATCACCTACCCGGATACCAGAAATGTCCCCCATCAATTACCACCATCAGTTTCATTGAGAGCTCTTAAAAAGAAACTGAAAAACAGATTATGGTATATGTGCAAAGGGATGTAACTTGTTCTACCAGGACATCTGCAAGTAACCTTGGTCACTTCATCACTATGAGAACATCAACTCTACCTGAATACTTGCAGTACTCTAAGGTCAAAATTATTGCTAAATAAGAGAAAAATTTCCACAGTTACTGCTGTTGTTGAGGACATAATGATAATTAAGTGGATATGGCAATCCCTCAACACTCACAGGGTTAAACAAAAATTTTCTCCAACTTATAAAATGTGAAAACTAATGGTTTTTAGAAATGCTGAGGACTCTACCTTAATATCGGCAAAGATATCAAGGTTAGAAGAACTCTTAGAGACACTATCATCACTTACCTAGCTATCGGGAGAACAGATGGCCTGTGCTATGGTTTAGGTCCGTACCCTCACTTACCTGCATACTAGCAACATTCCCTGTTGACATCCACGCTAGATTGATTGTGATCTTCTGACAGGAACGTGGAAAAGACATTATGAAATCTGTTTTAAAGAACACAACTTTTTCATCACTATGGGACACATCAACTTTACCTGGATACTTATAGTAATCCAAGGTCAAGAGCAATGTCAGATAACACCAGCATTTCCTGATTGAACACCTGTAAAAATAAATGAGTAGTACTTTGTTGGGGATCATCATGATAAATACCTGGATATGTGATATACGTTAACACTCTCAATGTTGAACATAAACTTTTCCTAAAATATAAAAGGTAAAAACTCATGTTTTCTAGACTTGGTAAGACTCTATCATTTCCTACCTGAATGCTTGCAAAAATAATTATGTTAGAAGTATCTGGGACACCATCATCTCTTACCAAATATCTGAAGATCAGATGGTCTGTGCTGTGGTTGAGGCCCACATCCTCATTTATCTCCCTACTAGCAACGTCCATGTTAACAACCATTGGTAGGCTCACCGTAATGTCCTGACATGAACCTGAAAACACAACTGTGGAGAATGTGTTTGATGCACATCTTACTCCACATGTACACTTGCAGATTCCCTTGGTCAACTGTATCATTTGGATCCCATCAACAGTACCTGGATACTTGCAGAACTGTGAGATCAAATCCTAGGAAGAGACAGCTTCTTCTCTTGAACGAATACCTGCAAAAATCCCATTGTCAATAATGCTGTGGTGGACTAGATGATAAATTACATGGATACCCGCAATCGCTCTATCAGTAAAAGTGTTAAATACACAGTGTTTCAAAACAAAAAGCAAAAAGATCTCTTTCTTACTAGTATTATTAGCGGTGTGTTAATTAATGAACTGCATACATGCCAAAAGCAAGGTAAATATAAGAGACTCGAAAACATTAATTATGTAGATACCTGAATATAAGAAAATCTCTAATGAGATAATGTCACATCATCTCATACCTGTGTACTAGCAAAGACCTTAACAGGACACCTCCAAAAAGAATATGTAAACACAAGCGTTAGGGACACCAGCCTCACTTATCTAGATATTGAAGTTCAGATAGTCTGCATTGTGGTAGGACCACTTTTCACTTACCTTGTTAAGAGCAAGGTTTCCATTAATGATGACTGTTAGGTTTACTGTGTTCTCTTCACAGGAACTTGAAAAAACACATGGGACAAATGAATTCAAGGATACAACTTGTTCTACCAGGACACCTACATATCACCCTATTCACTTCCATTATCACTGTACACATCATCTCTACTTAGATACTTGCATTAAATCAAGGTTAACATCATCGTCATGAGAGACTATCATCATTCCTTGACTGGACACCTGCAAAGATCCTATCATTACTACTGTGGTGAGAAACTTCACAACAATTACCAGGATGATCTACCCCTCAACAGTCAAAGGGTTAAACATAAGTTTTCTCTAAAATATAAAAAGTGTAAACTCATGTTTACTAGAATTGGTAAGGACTCTCTCATTTCTTACCTGAATATCGGCAACAAAATCATGCTAACGAGAAATGTTAGGGAGATCATCATCACTTACCTACATATAAGATCAGATAGTCTGTGCTCTGCTTTAGGCCCACACCATCGCTTACCCAATATCAGTTATCTGTCTCGTTAACTACAACTGATAGGCTCACAGTGATGTCTTGACATGAGCCTGAAACATATGTTGTGGAAAATGTTCAATACACATCCTATTCTACCTGAACACCCACGAAATTCCCTTGGTCAATTGTATCATTTTGGAACTCATCAACGTTACCTGGATAACTTCAGAACTCTGAGGTAAAATTCTAGTAAGAGATACCTTCCTTTCTTAAAGGGAGACCTGCAAAGATTCCATGGTCAATATCATTGTGATGGGCAATATGATAAATTCCCTGGATACTTGCATATCTGTTATCACTATGAGTATTAAAAAACACATTATCTCTATACATCTCTATCCCTATAGTTAAGAATACAGTTAATTCTCATGCTTACTAGTATTGTTCAGGACAAATTAATTTCTTAATTGTATACATGCCAAAAACAATGTTATTATAAGAGTCTTGGGAACATCATTAATTACCTAGATATCTGAAAACAACAAAAGTCTTTAATGAGTTAATGTCCTACCATATCCTATCTCTTTACTAGCAAAGACTTTAATGGGATACCTGCAAAAAACATAACCCATGTGTTGGAGGCACCATCTTCACTTACCTAGATATTGAAGATCAGATGGTCATGCACTGTGGTAAGACCCACTGTATCATTTACCTGGTTACCAGTCATGTCCCAATAATGACCATTGTTAGATTCACCGTGATCTCTTGAGTGGAATCTGAAAAAAACACATGCAAAAAATATGTTTAAGGAAACAACTTGTTCTATGATGAAACCTGCAAGTAATCTTGGTCACTTCCATCGTTGAAGGAACTTTTAACAGTACCTGCATCCTGGCTGTACTTCAAGATCAACTATGTTCTTAGAGACATCATCACCTCTTGACAGGACTCATGTAAAAATCTACCGATCAATACTGTGGTGTAGAAAAGTAGGATACTTTACCTGCATATACCTCCATCACTAATTAGGTTAAACACATTATATTTAAATTATTATGCTGTAAGGGCTAATGTTAACTAGATTTGGTCGAGACAACATCATTTCTTACCTGAGTATCTTAAAAAAATAAAAGGTAAACAAATGTAAGACACACCATCCTCACTTACCAAGAAATCTGAAGATCAGCTATCTGAAGGGTACTTAAGGCCACATCATCACTTACCTGGATATAGCAAAGTCCCTGTTAATAATCATTGTGAAGTCACCATGATCTCCTGATTGAACCTTGAAAAATACATTGTTGACAAATGTATATATATGGACACACATTTTCCACATGGACACCTGCACATAACCTCCTTCATTGCCATTATTGCAGGACCCATCAACCTAATTTGATTTTTGCAGTATTCAAGGTCTAGCCATATTTAGAGCCACCACCATCTCTTGACTACCCATCTATAAAATCTCATGGTTACTACTGTGAAGCAGAACTCCAGGATAATTACCTGGATAAGTGTAAATTACTCACATCCACATGGTTAAACATAAATTTTCTGTAAAATATAAAACAGTAGGATAACATCTTATTCTCACTGAACACCTGCAAATATCCTTGGTCACTTGTATAATTTCAGGACCCATCAATTTCACCTGGATACTTGCAGAAGTCCAAGGTCAAACCTTTGAAAAAGACACCTTCCTCTCTTGGAGGGATGCCTGCAAAAGTCCCATGATCAATAAGGCGTGATAGAGAATATGATAACTTACCTGGATGCCTGCATATCTCTCCATTGCTACCAATGTTATACACACATTAGTTCTAAACAAGAATACAATAAAATCTCATGCTTACTAGTATTCTTATGGACAAATTAATTTCTTAATAGCATACGTGTCAAAAAAGAGGTTAATATAAGAGTTTCTACAATCTCATTAATTACCTAGATGTCTGAAATAAAGAAGATCTCCAATGAATTAATGTCACATAATCCCATACTTGTATACTAGGAAAGACCTTAACGAGATACCTTCAAAAAAAAGGTAACACATGTGTTAGGGACACCAGGCTTACTTATCTAGATATTTGAAGGTCATGTGGTCTGTATTGTGTAAGACCCACATTACCACTTACCTGATCAAGAGCAAAGTCCTGTTAATGTCCATTGAGAGCTTAACTGTGATGTCTTGACTAGAACCTGAAAAAAATGTAACAAATGTGTTTAAGGACACAACTACTTCTACCAGGATACCTGTAACAACCTTGGTCACTTCTATCTCACATGGACATTTGCAGTACTCCAAGTTTAATACCATTGTCAGATAAGACCATCATTTGGTGACTGTACACCTGCGAAATTCCCATGGTTACCTCTGTCGTGGAACACCATGATTATTATCTGAATGCATGCAATCCCTCAACACACTTAGGGTTAAATATAAATTTTCTCTAAAATATAAAAAACAGAAACTCATCATTTCTAGAATGGTAAAGACTCTACATTTTCATACCTGAATAGCATGCAATAAAATCATGGTAAGTATTATTGACACCATCATTACTTACCTGTCTGAAGATCAGATGGTCAGCACTGTAGTAAAGCATTATCACATACCTTGATACCAGTGATATCTCACGTTAAGTACCAATTACAGGCTTACTCTGATCTATTGACAGGAATCTAAAAACATATTGTGAAAAACGTGTTACATACATATCTTATTCTACTTGGACATCTGTAAAATCCTTTGATCACTTGTGTTATTTTAAGACCCATCAATACTACCTGGATACTTGAAGAATTCCAAGATCAAATCCTAGTAAGAGACACCTTCCTCTTTGAAGGGATACCTGCACAAATCCCACATGAATAACAGGGTGATGGAGAATATGACAAATTACCTAGGTACCTGCCTATTCCTCTAGCACTGTGAATGTTAAATACATTATCTCTAAACAAGAATAAATTAAAATCTCATGCTACTAGTATTGAGAGGAACAAGTTAATTTCTTAACTGCACAGGTGCCAAAAATAAGGTTAATATAAGAGACCTGATAAAATCATTTTACCTAGATATACAAAAATAAGGAGGTCTGTTTGAGAATGCCACAACATCTCATACTTTATCCTAGCAAAGATCTTAACTGGATACTTGCAAAAAAAGTGTTAGGGACACCATCACCACTGACCTACATATCTGAAGGTCAGGTGATCTGTATTGTGGTAAGACCCCATTATCACTTACTTGGTTATTATCATGGTCCAGTGAACTGCCATGTTAAGTTCAGCCTGATTTCTTGATTGGTACCTGAAAAAAAGAAGCCACAATGTGTTTAAGGACACAACTTCTTTTACCAGGGCACGTGTACATAACTTTGGTCACTTTGTCATTATGGGAAACATCAGTCATAGCTATATACTTGCATCATTCCAAGGTCAATACAGTTGTCAGGTAAGAATGATTTTGTGACTGTACATCTGCAAAAATCCATGGTTACTACTGTATTGAAGAACACCATGGTAATAACTTGAATATGTGTAACTCCTCAAAACTCACAGGGTTTGACATAAATTTACTAAAAAACATAAAAATAAAAACTCATGGTTTCTTGAATTGGTAAGGACTTTCACTTCTTACCTGAACACATGTGAAAAAATCCTGGTAACAAGAAGTGTTACGGACACTATCAGCACTTAGCTATATATATAGGAAGATCAGATGGTCTGTGCTGTGGTTCAGGCCCATATCATCACTGACCTCAATATCAGCAATGACCTATGTTAACTACCATTGCTAGTTTCACTGTGATATCATGACATGAACCAGAAAAGGCATTGTGGAAACTGCGTTTGGTACATGTCTTATTCAACCTGGACACCTGCAAATTCCTTTGGTCACGGTCACTTGTATCATTTCAGGACCCATCAACACTACCTGGATACTTGCAGAACTCTGAAATCAAACCAGTGTAAGAGATATCTGCTTCTCTCTTGAAGGGACACCTGCAAATTTGCACGGTCAATATGATGAATTACCTGGACATCTGCATATTCATTATCACTTTGAGTGTTAGAGACACAATCTTTAAATAAGAATACAGTCAAATCTCACGCTTACTAGTATTGTTAAGGACAAATTAATTCTGTAATTGCATACATGTCAAAAACAAAGTTAATATAAGGCTCTTGATGACATCATTAATTACCTAGATACCTGAAAATAAGGAAGTCTTTAATGAGTTGATATCACATCATCTCATACATGAGTACTAGCAAAGGCTTTAACAGAAAACCGGCAAAAAAAAATACAACACTATGTTAGGGACAGCATCCTCAACTACCTAGATTATGGAGCTCAGATAGTGTGCATTGTAGTAAGACCCACTTTATCACTTACCTGGTTACTAGCAATGTCCAATTAACAACTACTGTTAGGTTTATTGTGATCTCTTGACTAGAACCTGAAAAAACACATGCAACAAATGTGTTTAACAACACAACTTGTTCTATCAGAACACCTACAGATAATCTTGGTCACTTCTATCATTGTGGTAACAATCAACACTATCTTGATCCTGGCAAAACTTCAAGGTCAACACTGTTGTTAGTGACATTACCTCCTGACTGAGCACCTGTAAAAATGTCATGCTCAATACTGTGGTGTGGAATAGAAGGATAACTTACCTTGCATATCCCTTAGTCACTCCTTAGATTAAACACACATTATATCTAAACTCTAAACTAATAAGGGTTAATGTTTACTAGCACTAGTGGGGACAATATCATTTCTTATCTGAATATCTGGAAAAAAACCATGGTAACACAAATGTGAGGGACGCTATCCTCACGTATCTAGATAGCTGAAGACTGCATGATCTGCAGGGTGCGTAAGGTGCACTTCACCACTTACCTCGATACAAGCAAAGTCCCCATTAATGATCACTGTAAAGTCACCATGCTCTCTTGACTGGAACCTGAAAAACACAATGTGACAAATGTGTCTATGGACATATCTTTTCCACCTGGACACCTGCAAATAAACTTTTTCACTTCCATCCCTACAGGACCCATCAACTCTACGTGTATACTTGCAGTACTCCAAGGTCTACACCATCGTTAGAGACACCATCATCTCTTGACAGCATACCTGCAAAAATCCCATGATTACTACTCTGCCATGGAACTCCATGATAATAACCTGGATACCTGAAAATTGCTCAACATTCACAGGATTAAACATATTTTTTTTTTCTAAAATATAAAACAGTAAGATAATATGGTGACTAGAATTGGTAGACCACTATCATTTCTTACCTGAATACCTGCAAGAAAAATCACATGGCGCAACAAGTTTAGGCAAACCAACATCATTTACCTAGACATATCAGATCTAAGATCAGATGGTCTGTGATGTGGTAAAGTGCACACCATCACTTACCTGGATACCTGCAATGTCCCCTGTTAATGACCATTGTTAAGTTCATTGTGATTTCTTAACAGGAACCTGAAAAACACATTGTGAAATATGTGTTAAAGAACACAATTTTTTCTATCAGAACACCTGCAAATAACCTTGGTAACTTCCATCACTGCAGAACCCATCAACACTGCCTGAATACATGTAGTACTCCAAGGTCAACACCGTTATCAGATAAGAACACAATTTCCTGACTGTAAACTCACAAAATTCCCATAAATACTACTGGGGGAAGAACACCATCATAGTTACCTGGATATGTGAGATCCCTTAACATTCACAGGGTTGAACATAAACTTTCTCTAAAATATAAAAAATGAAAATTCATAGTTATTAGAATTGGTAAGAACTATATCATTCTGAACTGAATAGCTGCAACAAATACATGGTCACAAAATGTGACAGGGACACCATCATCACTTACCTACATTTCTGAGGATCAGATGGCCGGTGCTGTGGTTTAGGCCCACATCCATACTTACATGGACACCAGTAATGTCCCCAATAACGACCATTGTTAGGTTCATCATGATGTCTTGACAGCAACCCAAGAAACATATTATGAAATATATGTCAAAGGACACAATTTATTTTACCAGGATACCTGTACATAATCTTCTTTACTTCCATCATTATGGGACACATCAACTCTACCTAGATACTAGCAGCATTCCAAGGTCAACATCATTTTTAGGTAAGACCATCATTTCCTAACTATACATCTGCAAAAATCCCATGGTTACTACTGTAGTGAGCAATACCACAATTACCTGTATACCTGCATTCTCTCAACACTTGAGGGTAAAACAAATTTTCTCTAAAATATAAAAAGTGAAAACTCATGGGTTCTAGAATTGGTAAGGACGCTATCATTTCTTACCTAAATACCTGTGATAAAAACATGGTAACAAGTGTTAGGGACACTGTCATCACTTACCTAGCTTTCTGAAGATCAGATGGTCTGTGCTGTGGTTTAGGCCCACATCAACACTTACCTGGATACCAAAATTGTCCTATGTTACCTATCATTGATAAACCCTCCATGATTTGAACCTGAAAAAAACACTGTTAAAAATGTGTTTAATACACATATTATTCTACCTGGGCATCTGCAAATTCTACTGGTCAATTTTATCACTTAGGGACCCATCAGTGACACATGGATCTTACAGAATTCCTAGCTCAAATCCTAGTAAGGGACATCTTCCACTCACAGAGGGATACCTAAAAAAAATTCCATGGTCAATAACACAGAGTTGAATATGAAAAATTAACTGGATATCTGAATATTCATCTATCACTAAGAGTGTTAAATACATATCACCCCTAAATAAGAATATAGTAAAATCTCATGCTTACTAGTACTGTTAGGGACAAATTAATTTTTAACTATATATTTGCCAAAAACAACTTTAATATAAGAATCTCAACATCATTAATTATCTAGATTCTGAAAATAAGAAGGTCTTTAACAAGTAAATATAACGTCATCCCATACCTGTGTACTAGCAAAGACCTCAGTGGAATATCTGCAAAAAGACATAGGAACACAAGCGTTAGGGTCACAATCCTGATTTCCTGATATCTGAATATTAATCGGTCCGTAGTGTTGTACAACCTATATTATCACTTACCTGGATACCTGGAAAGCTCCATTAGTGAACACTTTTACATCCCCCATGATCTCTAGAATGGAAGCTAAAAAAACATGTGTGGTAAGTGTGTTTAAGGACACAACTTGTTCTATCAGAATACTGGCAAATAATCTTGGTCACTTCCATCATTAGGGAGCCATCAGCACTTCTTGGTTCAGAACTTTGAAGCAGAACTTCAAGGTCAACAACATTCTTAGAGACACTATCATCTCTTGACTGAGCACCTCAAAAAGTGTCGTGGTCAATACTGTGATACCTTACCTGGATATATGTATATCCCTAAGTCATTACTAAGGTTAAACACACATTATACTTCAACTTTTAAACAATGAGGAGCAATGCTTATTAGCATTGTTTGGGATACTATTACTTCCTACCTGAATACATGCAAAAAATCATAACAACATAAATGTTAGGGATACCATCATCATTTCCCTAGATTTCCGAAGGTCAGAAGGTCTGCAGTGTGGTAAGACTCACATAACCACTTAGTGGATATCAGCAAAGTCCTGTTAACCACTATTGTTAGGGTCACTGTGATCCCTTGACTGGAACCTGAAAAAAAACATTGCGACAGATGTATTTACGGACACAACTTTTCCTACCAGGACACTGGCAAATAACTTTTGTCACTTCCATCTTTATGGGCCCATCAATGCCACCTGGACACTGGCAGAACTTCAAGGTTAACACTGTTGTTACAGACACCATCATCTCTTAACTGTGTACCTGTAAAAATCTCATTGTCAATACCGTGGTTAGAAAGTTATGCTCACTTACTGGTTACCTGCAAATCCCTCATTCATTCCTAAGGTTAAGTATACATTATCTCTAAACTTAAAAAGTGGTTAAACTAGATCTCATAGTTACTAGTATTTGTAGGCCCAGTATAATTTTTTACCTGAATACCTGCAAAAACAGTACCAACACAATTATCATCACTGACCTAGATTTCTCAAGATCAGACGGTTTGTACCATGTTTAAGGTCCACATCGCCACTTAACTGGATTCCATGATCTTTACATGTATCTCTTGATCGGAGCCTGCAGAAACACACGGTGGCAACTATGATTAGGGATACATCTTATACATGGATCTCAAAAAATCCCATGATCACTATTAGGGGAACCATGAGCTCTACCTGGATCCTTTAGTTGTAAGGTCAACACTGCAGTTAGAAACACCACCATCTCTTGACTGGGACCTGAAAAAACACCTGGTGGCAACCCTGGTTAGGGATACATGTTCTTCCATCTGGAGCCCTGCTAATTCCATCTGTCCATTTCCTTAGGGCAACCAGTAACTCCAACTGCATACTTGGAGAACTCTAAGGTCAACACTGTAGTTCCAGACACGATCATCTGTTCACTGGACACCTGCAAAAATCCTCCAGTCACTACTGTAGTGAGGACTCTATGATATATTACCAGACACCTGCAAATATCTTTGTCACTATTAAGTTTTAAGACAAATCATCTCTGAATCAGAAAACAGTAAAATCTGATGATTATTACTTTTGTTAGGGACATTCATTTCTTACCTGAATACCCGCAAAAATACAGGTTATGATAAGAGTTTAGGACAGTATCATCATTTTCTAGATATCTGAAAATCATATGGTCTCTGACATGTTTCACGCTCATATCATCTCTTACGTGGATATTAGCAAATTCCTACATTTACTCCCAACATTAGGTTTACCATCATCTGTTGACTGGAACCTGCAAAATCGCATTGTCTGTACTGTGGTGAATGACACCACGATAACTTATCTGGACAATTCCAAAATACCATGATGTTCACTTGGTTAAAGCCCACATTCTTTCTTTCCTTGTTACCTACCAAATCCCATGGTTACTACCATGGCTAATTTCACCTTCATTTCTTTACTGAAACCTGCAAAAAAAAAAAAAAAAGGTTACAACCATAATTAGAGACACATCATCTCTTACCAGGACACCTGAATATCCCATAGTCATTACCGTGGGATTTCACCATCATTACTTAAGGGATACTGAAGGGTAGCAGAATATGCCATGCCAAAACATGCCTCTGGCATAAGGATTATTTTGAGAAACTGCAGACACAGGAGAAGCTCTGGAAACAGAGTAGAAGTGACCCTTTTATAAGGGAAATTTACATTAAAGAGGTGGCCTGTACCAGGAATAGGGCTGTTACCAGAGATGGCTTTTTCACCTGAGAGACTTCGGCATGACGGAGCAAACTCTGTTTACCATACATTTCCTCTTCTTACCTTCCTGTGAAATTCCTTCCTCCCCTTTCAAGCCCCAGACCCCTGTCCCTCTCCTTAGTTGAGGATTGTGTATCAGTCTTAGTTGCCTGGCTGCCTTATTGAGTCTCATATATTTGTGAGGCTCTCATATGTGCATATTTGCATATGTAATTAACATTGTTTGTTTTTCTCTTGTTCATCTGTCTTTTATTACAGGAGGGTCTCAGCCAAGAACCTAGGAGAGTAGAGGGAAAATTATTTTTCCTCTCCTACAATACCTTCAAAGTCTCATATTCATTTTAGATTTGCCATCAGTTATTGATGAAATACTTGCAAAATACCTTGGTCACCACAGTGGTTTGTGACACATCATCTTCACCTGGATATCTACAGAAGACTGTGGTCTCTACTAGATTTAAAAAAAAAAAGTGTCTTACATGGAGACCTACAAATTATCCAGATAAACGACATTGTTAGGGACAATCATCTCTAACTTGGGTAACTATAAAATATCTTGGTACTACCATTGTTAGTTACACATCATTTCTACCTGGATACCTTCAAAATCCCATGGTCACCACATTTTTGACACCAACATCTCTTACCTGGATACTTGCAAACTCCCTTGCTCGCCAGTGTGGTTAGGATCACCATCATCTCTTAACTACTAACCTGCCAAATCCCATCATCACTTTCATGGTTAAGGACACCATCATCTCTTAACTAGAACCCTGAAAAATCTCAAGTTGCTTTTGTGGTTAGGTTCACTATCATACCCGGAATACCCCAAAATGCCATGTTTAGTAATGTGATAAGGGGCATCATCAGCTTCTACCTACCTATCTGACAAATCCCAATTTCAGTACTCTAGTTACCACCACCATCATCCCTTAACTGGATATCTACAAAATACCATGGTCACTCCCATGGTTAGCTTGATCATCATTTCTTATCTGTATAATTTCAATATTCTATATTTACTGCCTAGGTAGGAACATCTTCATTTCTTGCCTGGATATTTACAAAATCCCATGGACATTACCATGGCTAGAGTCTCTGTCACCTTTACACTCTATATCTATGAAAGCCCATGGGCACTGCCATGGTTACGGACACCATCATCTTTCCCTGGATTCCTTCAGAATACTATGGTCACTACAATGATGAGACCCACTATCATCTCTTACCTGAGTATCTGTCAAATCCTATGGTCACTGAATCTCTTGAATAGACATCCAAGGCTTTTCATGTTTTGACTTCTGCCTGTCTTACTGGCCTTGGCCCCTGCCACCCCTCTCATCCTTTATAACATGAACATTCCAAGCAGTTGAACTTCCCTAACATTCCTTCCTCTCCTGGTTATGGCAGTTGAATGCTCAAGCCAGCCCTTGCCATCTAACAAGAGCTGATTATTGGCATCTCTTTGCAATTCAGTGTTCAGTGGCCTTGAAACTGGCCATGGTAGGAGTATTTACACCTCAGTAATCGGCAAATGCTACACATCAGAGCTTTTCCTTTAGGCTTTTACCAGGATGTGCTGATGAGTAAAGTAATAAATGAACAGGGAGAGGCACTATGGAATAATGACAACTCAATCTTGCTTTCTCATGAATTTGATGTGACTTTTCTGGATGAAGGGAATGTGTCACTTTACTCTACATATGCCTTAAAACATATTATCTTTCCAAATTTTTATACTTAATGAAAAAATGGATAAACTCTTTTATTTATTTTTTTTTATTTTATTTTATTTTTTTTTTATTTTTTTTTTTATTAATGTTATGATAGATTACAACCTTGTGAGATTTCAGTTGTACATTTTTGTTAGTCATGTTGTGGGTACACCACTTCCCCCTCCGTACCCTCCCCCCACCCCCCCTTTTCCCTGGTAACCACCAATCAGATCTCCTTCTCAATATACTAATTTCCACCTATGAGTGGAGTCATATAGAGTTCGTCTTTCTCTGACTGACTTATTTCGCTTAACATAATACCCTCGAGGTCCATCCACATTGTTGTGAATGGGCCCATTTCGTCTTTTTTTATGGCTGAGTAGTATTCCATTGTGTATATATACCACATCTTCTTTATG